TGAAACCCATATGTAAAGGCGGTCACGTGGAAGAATTAGAAAAGTTGAGTGTCCTAGAGCTTGACGAACAGGATTCAGAATTTCATAAACAACTGACTCTGGCTGATCCTGGGATACATAAAGTACCGAACAAAGACTCAGCAGGAGCCAATGGCAGCGAAGGTAAAGAGAGGGAAGTGGCTGGGGCACACGCTGCGTAAAGATCATACAAAGGTGACCAGTGTTTCTTACAGACTTTTTTCTCCGGGGGGGGGGGGGGTAGCGGACACAGGTGAAAGTATATATTTTCTATATAAATTCGATTTCGTTCGGGGGAGTGGTGGGGGGGAGGGGGTGAAGCAGAAGAGATGCCTGGAAGAAACTTTGGTGGGGGGGGGGGGGGGTGAAGCCGAAGAAATGCCTGGAAGAAACTTTGGTGGTGGGGGGGGGGGGTGAAGCCGAAGAGATGCCTGGAAGAAACTCTGAAGGTGACACGTCAAACGCTGGCAGGGAAAACAGAAGAGTGGGTACCTAAAACAGACGTGAGCGTTGTTTCAACAGAACTGACAAAGACACGGAATAAGCAGGACTAAGTCAAGTAGACCAACGAGGACTGTCCAGTAGACCAACGAGGACTAAGTAAAGTAAACCAATCAGGACTAAGTCAAGTAAACCAACGAGGAAGTAGTGTGAACGTTTGCCTATTTTTCACACTACAGCTCGTGTTGATTTGTTAAAATATTTCTCTCTACGCAACAGTGTGTGTTAGTTAATGTAGATCGTAGAACAATCACTGATATAGTAGACCTTTTTTTTACAAAATTACTATCAAGGTGCACGGAAAACATTATTAATGAAAATAAAATGCATTAATGTTTGGTCGGAATTGGGCCCCTAAATGCCCCCCCCCCCCCACTCGCATTGCGGGGTCAGGCGGCATGGTAGTTCCGCCCCTGAAACCAACGAGGACTAAGTTAAGTAGACCAATCAGTACTAAGTCAAGTAGACCAACGAGGACTAAGTCAAGTAGACCAACGACGACTAAGTCAAGTAGACCAACGACGACTAAGTCAAGTAGACCAACGAGGACTAAGTCCAGTAGACCAATGAGGACTAAGTCAAGTAGACCAATCAGGACTAAGTCAAGTAGATCAACGAGGACTAAGTCAAGTAGACCAACGAGGACTAAGTCAAGTAGACCAACGTGGACTAAGTCAAGTAGACCAACGAGGACTAAGTCCAGTAGACCAACGAGGACTAAGTCAAGTAGACCAATCAGGACTAAGTCAAGTAGACCAATCAGGACTAAGTCAAGTAGATCAACGAGGACTAAGTCAAGTAAACCCAAGAGGTCTAAATCAAGTAGATCAATGAGGACTAAGTCTTGTCAAGTAGACCAATGAGGGTTTTACTACAGGACTGTCCAGTAGTCCAACGAGGATTAAGTCAAGTAGACATATCAGAACTAAGTCAAGTAGACCAATGTAAACAAGTTCTTTGTTGGAAAGAGTGAACATGTTCCTTGTGTGATAGAGTGAACATGTTCCTTGACTGATATAAAACAGATACATATGATGTCATGCTAATGCTTACAAAGAAGATAGTCTCCCCTCCCCCTTACATGAACTTACAGGCGATGGACAACTAACAAACTCATCAGAAATATATTTTAAATATTTTATTTGAATCAATTATAAAAATATACACATTTTTTTTCATGATGAGAAAATAAATATTTTGAGACATTTGAATGAAATGTTGCCAACATGTTGAACTACTTACTGAAGACTAAAATATGATCTAAAATTACGCCTACTAGTGATTACAAATAAAATGCAAACAATAATGCAAATGATAAGCCACCAACATACACTCTCATAGAAATCAACCATTAAATCTAGCACTTCACATGTGGTTCATCTTTTGAATAAGAAAACATACCAACAGTTGCTACATTTTATAACAAATCTGTCATACTATAAAAGACTATATTTAAATCAAAATGGATCATATGTAAAATAGTTCGCTTTTGTATGTTGGAAAATAATTATTTTATATATACAAATATACACTTGATCAAATGGTTGAATGCAACAAAATTATGATTAAACTATAAATAAACAGTTGGTTATATACTACAATATTTTGTTTTAAAATTTAACAAGTTTTAAACCTTGTAAATAGATTTTTTTATTGTATTAGCACAAAAAATTCCTGAAATAGAAATTTAAACAAATATTTCAACTCTTTTTTTTCAAATATCAATAAAATATTTAGTCATAATGAACTCTTCAGGAGTTTATTTTCCTCAATAAACTAATAAATGTAAAAAAATTATTATAGTTTTGGATTAATCTCACATCTAGTGCACTTAAGCCCACAATTAGCAGATACTTTCTTCTAGTGCACTTAGCCGACAATTAGCAGATACTTTCTTCTAGTGCACTTAAGCCCACAAATAGCAGATACTTTCGTCTAGTGCACTTAGCCCACAATTAGCAGATACTTTCTTCTAGTGCACTTAAGCCCACAATTAGCAGATACTTTCTTCTAGTGCACTTATTCCACAATTAGCAGATACTTTCTTCTATCTTCTAGTGCACTTAGTCCACAATTAGCAGATACTTTCTTCTATCTTCTAGTGCACTTAGCCCACAATTAGCAGATACTTTCTTCTATCTTCTAGTGCACTTAGTCCACAATTAGCAGATACTTTCTTCTAGTGCACTTAGTCCACAATTAGCAGATACTTTCTTCTATCTTCTAGTGCACTTAGCCAACAATTAGCAGATACTTTCTTCTAGTGCACTTATTCCACAATTAGCAGATACTTTCTTCTAGTGCACTTAGTCCACAATTAGCAGATACTTTCTTCTAGTGCACTTAAGCCCACAATTAGCAGATACTTTCTTCTAGTGCACTTATTCCATAATTAGCTGACACTTTCTTCTAGTGCACTTAAGCCCACAATTAGCAGATACTTTCTTCTAGTGCACTTAAGCCCACAATTAGCAGATACTTTCTTCTAGTGCACTTAGCCCACAATTAGCAGATACTTTCTTCTAGTGCACTTAGCCCACAATTAGCAGATACTTTCTTCTAGTGGACTTAGTCCACAATTAGCAGATACTTTCTCCTAGTGCACTTAAGCCCACAATTAGCAGATACTTTCTTCTAGTGCACTTAGCCCACAATTAGCAGATACTTTCTTCTAGTGCACTTAAGCCCACAATTAGCAGATACTTTCTTCTAGTGCACTTAGCCCACAATTAGCAGATACTTTCTTCTAGTGCACTTAGCCCACAATTAGCAGATACTTCCTTCTAGTGCACTTATTCCACAATCAGCAGATACTTTCTTCTAGTGCACTTATTCCACAATTAGCAGACACTTTCTTCTAGTGCACTTAAGCCCACAATTAGCAGATACTTTCTTCTAGTGCACTTAGCCCACAATTAGCAGATACTTTCTTCTAGTGCACTTAGTCCACAATCAGCAGATACTTTCTTCTAGTGCACTTAAGCCCACAATTAGCAGATACTTTCTTCTAGTGCACTTAGCCCACAATTAGCAGATACTTTCTTCTAGTGCACTTAGTCCACAATTAGCAGATACTTTCTCCTAGTGCACTTAAGCCCACAATTAGCAGATACTTTCTTCTAGTGCACTTAGCCCACAATTAGCAGATACTTTCTTCTAGTGCACTTAAGCCCACAATTAGCAGATACTTTCTTCTAGTGCACTTAGCCCACAATTAGCAGATACTTTCTTCTAGTGCACTTAGCCCACAATTAGCAGATACTTTCTTCTAGTGCACTTAGCCCACAATTAGCAGATACTTTCTTCTAGTGCACTTATTCCACAATTAGCAGATACTTTCTTCTATCTTCTAGTGCACTTAGCCCACAATTAGCAGATACTTTCTTCTAGTGCACTTAGCCCACAATTAGCAGATACTTTCTTCTAGTGCACTTAGCCCACAATTAGCAGATACTTTCTTCTAGTGCACTTATTCCACAATTAGCAGATACTTTCTTCTAGTGCACTTAAGCCCACAATTAGCAGATACTTTCTTCTAGTGCACTTAGTCCACAATTAGCAGATACTTTCTTCTAGTGCACTTAAGCCCACAATTAGCAGATACTTTCTTCTAGTGCACTTATTCCACAGTTAGCAGACACTTTCTTCTAGTGCACTTAAGCCCACAATTAGCAGATACTTTCTTCTAGTGCACTTAAGCCCACAATTAGCAGATACTTTCTTCTAGTGCACTTAGCCCACAATTAGCAGATACTTTCTTCTAGTGCACTTAGCCCACAATTAGCAGATACTTTCTTCTAGTGCACTTAGTCCACAATTAGCAGATACTTTCTCCTAGTGCACTTAAGCCCACAATTAGCAGATACTTTCTTCTAGTGCACTTAGCCCACAATTAGCAGATACTTTCTTCTAGTGCACTTAAGCCCACAATTAGCAGATACTTTCTTCTAGTGCACTTAGCCCACAATTAGCAGATACTTTCTTCTAGTGCACTTAGCCCACAATTAGCAGATACTTTCTTCTAGTGCACTTATTCCACAATTAGCAGATACTTTCTTCTAGTGCACTTATTCCACAATTAGCAGACACTTTCTTCTAGTGCACTTAAGCCCACAATTAGCAGATACTTTCTTCTAGTGCACTTAGCCCACAATTAGCAGATACTTTCTTCTAGTGCACTTAGCCCACAATTAGCAGATACTTTCTTCTAGTGCACTTATTCCACAATTAGCAGATACTTTCTTCTAGTGCACTTATTCCACAATTAGCAGACACTTTCTTCTAGTGCACTTAAGCCCACAATTAGCAGATACTTTCTTCTAGTGCACTTAAGCCCACAATTAGCAGATACTTTCTTCTAGTGCACTTAGCCCACAATTAGCAGATACTTTCTTCTAGTGCACTTAGCCCACAATTAGCAGATACTTTCTTCTAGTGCACTTAAGCCCACAATTAACAGATACTTTCTTCTAGTGCACTTAGCCCACAATTAGCAGATACTTTCTTCTAGTGCACTTAGCCCACAATTAGCAGATACTTTCTTCTAGTGCACTTAGCCCACAATTAGCAGATACTTTCTTCTAGTGCATTTATTCCACAATTAGCAGATACTTTCTTCTAGTGCACTTAGTCCACAATTAGCAGATACTTTCTCCTGATGTTTCACCCAAGCTTCCATATTTTTTGCGCATCTGATAGTTCATGATCCATCCAATATAAGACATAAGAAGATCATCCATATTATGACCCTGAAGGATACAATTATCTTTATTAACAAAATTATACATTTAATAAATAATTGATAGCATATCAAGAGAAACTCATTTGTTTCTTTCTGTATAAATTTTTTCAATTTTGCAGAGGGAAAGAAAAGAAGACAATTCTTTAAAATGTTGTTATTTTTAATGTTGTAGTTAATTTTTTATTTGCAGCTAACATTAATCAAACTGGTCATTTCAATTAAGAACCTCATCATAAAAGGGTCAAACATTTGGTTAAAAATAACAGATTTATCTCCTTTTTTCATCAACATTACAACTTTGGGCAAACCTATAATCAAAATGTAGAAGCAATTCTAAGAATAAAAAAATTGTAAATCAATTCAATAAATATGTAAAATAAAATAGATTCATACCACTTTAGTTTCCATAAAGAGTTTTATCGTACTGTTGCCCTCTCCAACAATAAGCGTAAAGGAATTTTCATCATATGCCCAGTTTGGGATTATATCAAAGTTGTAGGTTTTATGCAAGGACTAAAGAAAAAAAATTTAAAACTTTGATAAATTTTATTGAACAATATCAACAAGTGTAAACAAATGCACATAAAGATTTTTGAATCACTAAAACAACTTTTTTAAACAAAAGATTTAATTTGATTAAATACTTAACTATTAAGAAGTAGGATTTAACTTACAAACAAATAAATTTAATAAATTAGGATTTTCTAAACAGTTTGAAAACAATTATAAAAATGTGAAACGTTAATGTGAAAATGTTTGAATACTAACTCTTGTATTAGCATCAATAATGTGGACGCCAGAGTAATTTATGGCTATTAAACAGTGTTTAGGTAAAGTCTGTGCATGTCTTTGCTGAAATATTTAAAAAATCAAGCACATTTAAAAAAAGAACAGATTGATGCTTTTACATACACTATTGAATTATTAAGTCTAAAATAAATATTTTTTTATCACATGATCTTTTATTTAACTTCTTGAAACAAAAATATTTATTCCTGTATCTTAAAGTATTACCATGAAACGTTAAAATGAAATAGCATAAAATATGTTTATACTTTTTATTGCATTACATTTGACTAATAAACTGGGTAAAACCCACTAACCTTGACCTCAAAAAACACTGAACCATAAGTACTAAGTTGAGACAATTCTTGTAAAAATGCAGATTTAGCTTCTTGTAAAGACATTTTTGGGTGATTTTGATACTGCTTTACAACATCCTGAAAAAAGTTGTGGGAACTTTTGAAAATAATAGTTTAAATTTACATTCCAACTAAATAACCAACATGTTTAGCCTACTAATACAGAAATATGTTTTTTAAACTATAAATCAGGATTTTCAAGTTGTGTTTCAAAACAAAATTTGTGTTATCAGATGTCAGCACATAAATTAGTATAAGAGCAGTATTTTTGTAAGGAAACACGAAAAACTGCAATTTAAATTTTTTTTGTAAAAATAAAATGATTCTTTGTGTGTTTCTGGGGACGTCCTTCTTACAGTTTTAAATTTAAAATATTATGTAGGCATTGTATGCCTATGACATTAATTGTTTCTTTTTTTTGAAAAAACAATAATTTAATGTTAAAGTTTTTTTTTAAAAACTCAGAAATAATCTAATACAAATAGCACAGCTCAAGCTCACTTTTTGAATATCTGAGCCAGCTTTACTTGTCAAAAAATTCTTTGGAAATATTTGAGTAGCAACAGTGCTGATGAAAAAATTAAGAATAAATGAAAATTTAAATAGCTGAAACATTTTGCCAATTTCTTAAAGCTAACTTATCAACATTATGTTAAAAAACAGTTCAAAGATTTGATTAATAATTTTACAATACAGCTAACATTTTAAAAATGTTTGTTGATAAACATTTGATTAAATAAAGATGAGTTTACAAAGGTGTTATAAAAAACAGACAATAATAATCTCAACTGAAAGTTTGTATATTTTGTTACTGACCCAAACTTTGTGAAATGGCTTGCATCATCCCCAAACTGACTGCGGTAACATAAAGCTGCTAGTTTAATGACTGTACTGTCTGGCATTTGATGATAGCCTCTGAGATAGTTAGGCATTTCCTGATCAAAAGAAATTTAAAAATTGGAAATGTTATTGTTAAATATATTTTGGGGTGTAGGACTACTACTACAGTCATGCAAAATTTTATAACCCTAAAGATTATAAGGTAATTAAGTAAATTCTGTATGTTCTAGTTTCCAATGAGTAGGCTCTGAACATTGATTTACATATTTATGTAGTCCTACTTACTTTTCTTTGTTTTAAAACTGACCTGTCCATAGTGAAAAATCTGGTCTGCAACTTGATCTATACCAGGTTGACCATTCACCCAAATTTTTTTTAGCATTACCAACATAGGATGACTTTGTTTTGTTCCAGACTCTAAAATGTAATAATAAATATTTGTTTCACATTTAAGTATACAAAAACAAAGTAAGCTTATACTTGTTGTCAAAAGAGTTTTCGGTACTGGACCATTTGTTTATACTTACGACTTTTTCTGGACTGCTTGTACCAGAAAATTTCTGCATGTGACAGGCAATCAAAGTAAAAAGCTCGGTCAGGTAAACAATGCACTGTTACAAGAAAAATAAAGGTTAGGATTAAATGGCTTCAAGTTTTTATGTTTTCATAATCTGTTTTAAATATTAATTATAAAATTGTCTAAATAGTTTTGTTTAACTTTTCATATATTGTCGACTAAATACTGCTTTAATTGTTAGATATAGACCTATATTTCATAGTAAAAAAATAGAATTTCTAAAAAGTATCTTAAAATAATTGAAATTTTAAGATTTTCAAGACTTCTGACCTTTGTCACTTGAGCTAAAAAATAAACTGTATTCTTGGAATGACTTGAGATGAAGCCGTGCCACAACATCTTTCTTGATCTCATAGATGCGTGTATGGCTTGCTATTTCAAGTGTCTGAAGTAAAATACAAGAGGTTTAAGGTCTAGTTAAACGTTACAAAATGTAAGCCTACCACAGAAATGTTGTGAGCAGTTTATAAAAACTTACTTGTGTACTGTGGTTTGGTAAAAACAGTTGAATTCTAACATTTGGTTGTTGTTTGATAACCATTTCATGTTCCAAGAAATGGGAGGAATAAAGTCTATTGCCACAATGCCTTCAAACAAAACAAAAAATTAAAATTCATTTATAATTCATCATTAATTTAAAATGTAAATTATCTTCAAAAATAAATATCTTTTAATCATATGCATTAATAAAAATCAGACACTAACACTGCTAACATATTTTTTAAATATGCTTCAAGTGTTTTATATAATTAATGAACCTTACTGCTTCTTAAGCTTGAGGTTATTTTCTGCCATTTTAGCCAGTGGGTGAGATGATCCTTTCAAAAATGCCAAGCAATGTTCAAACAGTTCATAACTTGGGGGTATCATGGATGTTAACAATGTGAGAACCACCCAGCCTCTGTCTGACTGTGACCTGTAATAACATTCATATAACAGTTCTGACGTTTATAGATATGATGTTGACTACCAATAATTTCTTCATTTTAATAATTATTTCTCCATTCATTTATTTAGTTCGAGTCACAGCTAAATTATTTTATAGCCAACCTCCATTTTTTGACCTGCCAACTAGAACATAATTTTGTAATAGAAAACTAGAAGCAATCATAATATGAAACTTACTTATCTGGGTTATTGGTCAGCTGCTTGATAATTTGGCAGTATATTTCTTCTCTAAGGTATTTCTAAGATAATAAAAAATAACTTGTCATTTATTCTAAACTGATTTATAAATTGTAAATGAACTAAATGCATATTGAAACAATATCAAAATAAATAAATAAAATAAACATAAGCCTTATGTCGTAAGGTCTATATAATCTCTGAGCCAAAGTTGGTCTTCTGCTCTAAAGACCAGACTTTAAAAAAAAATTATAAAAAAACCAAATGCTTACATTTCTCCTTGCTGGGTTGAGAATCCATTCAGTGCAGAGGTTAAAACTAGCAATCTCATCATTGAATACAGGGTTACTCATGTAAGTTTGGAGAGGTGGATTGAAAGTTAAGAAAATATTACATGTACATTTAAGTAGACATTAAGAGCAACCTCTAAAATTATTTTTATTAGTTGCTATAAAAATTAATAAAATATTTATTTTGATGAGTTGCCAATGTTATAAACATCATACAAATTTTATTTTAATCAGTTGCCTACAATATAAACATCACATAATTTTTATTTGAATCCGTTGCCTACAATATAAACATCACACAATTTTTGTGTATATCAAAGCTTGTCCTAAAATTCTCTCTTCCCTCCATTACAGACAGAGACCTCTTGAATTGTACAAATAATTAAACATTTCAACAAGCCGTATGACAGAAGTCAAGAATGGAAAGTTTGAAAGTATGTTTTAGTTTCCTTCTATAATGTTAGTAAAACATGATTCAGTTCTTCTGTTTAAGGATATATGCAAAGCAATGTGTAGCCACTTTGCGTACATCCTCTCTGTTACATGTCCTCTTTAGAAGTGGTTTCTTCAATCCATCCTTGCTATAACTCCAGAGGGCATCATTATCTTTTTTCTTGATGGAAGCTTTGCTAAGAAACTTTGTCACTGCATTGTCATTTGAAGGCCTAGACCAAATTAGATGATGGCAAATACAGTTTCACATTTTTGTACTCATTTAATCTTTGAACAATGCTTTGATGTAAAAAAATATTTCAAATCAAGGATTTAGCTTACCTGAAAAAAACTTTAGCATACTGCTGCAAACTAGAACATTGCTTTAACTCCTGGTTTAATAAGGTACCAGACTGCTTGTTCACATGGGCTTTTAAACGACTCTGTTGACAATGTAATTCATCTATTATCTAATATATAAAGCTCAATTCTGTAACGCATATGTTTGTCGTTGGCATTTCTACGGATTTAAGTGTTAGATCAATTATCGTGCGCGTTTGTCTAAATTTATGAGTTAAAAAATTACTATTAAAAGTGTTGGGAAATCATTTTCATTTTTCAAATTATAGTAATAATTGTCGGCATGTTCATTAAACACAAGTTTTAAAAAAAATATCATCTTTTACAAAAATTCTAATTATGTTTTTATTTAGTCCTATAGCGCTTACTTCCCTTTGATAAATTAGGCAAAACACAATTACTTCCCTTTATGAAACCATCGCATTAGTTGGAAAGCATTTACTTTTTAATTACTTTGTTTTGGTGTTGGGAAAAAAATAATTACATAATTAGCGGGGATTGATCAAGTGCAAATGTTTTAGGTATTTTACGGATAAGCTTGGAGTATTATAATTGTTCATTAAATTGAAACAGGCGCGTTCGTTTAAGTGAGTGCAAAAACTATGAATAAGTTGGGGTACTATAGTCGTTTATTAAGCTAAAACAGGCGATTCTGCCCCGGGCGTTTATGTTCGCGTTAGTGTTTTCTTTGTGTTTAGGTGGGTTTGCGTTAGTGGTTGCGTTTTGATTTGGTTCGTTTTTGTTCTTTCTTTTTTCGTTTTTGTTTGTGTTTTTTTTGTTTGGGTTTGTATTTGTGTTTTTGGTTGGTTTTGCGTTTGGATTTGGTTTGTTTTCGTTTGCTTTTTCGTTGTTTTTTTTTTGGTATTGGTGTTTGTGGTTGGGTTTGTTGTTAGGTTTTTGTTTTCGTTTGTTTTTTCTTTGTGTTTGTATTGGTGTTTGTGGTTGGGTTTGTTGTTAGGTTTTTGTTTTCGTTTGTATTTCTAATTGTGTTAGCGTTATGTTTGCGTTTTGTTGTTTTGGTTGGTTGTGGTTTGGGTGGGCAATGCCGGGTTTATGATGATTACTAAACACACAGGTAATGGTCTTTAACGGAAAGGTTTTTCACAGAAGCCAGAGCAGGGCCTGGCCGGGACGGCTAGTTTTAACTAAAAATGTATGAAAGTAAATTGGCTATGAATAATACTAATAAATTACTCTTTACTTTTCGTACAGGCCTGTCTATGAAGTACAATATTATCTTAGGCTATATCAAAATGAAAACAGTATTGGCTATCTTTAAAGTTAATATAAACATTAAAGTAATTTCTATTACTACCAAAAGATCATCTGATGGTTTGACTACAGTTGCCAGGATGTAGCATAGCCTAACTGGCACATCATTGGGTTTTTTGGTCCTGGTACACAACACAGTGAGATTTTCAGCGTCACCAAGATCTACCAAATTTTGACTCAATTCTAAAACATCTCCTTTGATAATATTAGAATCTGCTGGCCCATCTGTCAATTGTTAAATTATAATACATTGTAGAATTATAATTATTACATAATAGATCAAAGATATACAATCATTTGGTTTTTTTATAAATTATCTTATAAAAAGTTTTCACTTATAGTATGAATAATTTAAAATATAATTAATAAAATTTAGCTGGAACAACAGCTTTAAATACAACAAACAACTAAAACAATAAAGGTTAACTAAAATTGTGGATCAAGTGTTGAATCTAAAAAAAAGCCTCATCTGAGTAGCGCCAACATATAAATATTTGACATGATTAAGTTTCTTTACCCAGTGGTGTTATATCTTCCTTGGCTATGGCAATTGTTGATCTTTTTGTCAGCTCTTCAATAAACTTGGTCACCAAATTGTAGAAATCATCTGAGTGATGTGTGCTGAACATATAGTTGTCTTGATTGGCGATAGCTATAGTCAAATGGTGCCTGGAGTGAACAGAAAGAACAATGACACATTAAAAAACAAAAGAGAACTAAAATTCTACAGCATTAAAACTATATTATAGCTGCACCAGAGGCGTATACAGGTTTTCGTTGTAGGGGGAGCGAAAAGAGCAAATAAAGGCGCCGAATTTTAACACGTTCTATATACGTGTATTTTATATATATATATATATATATATATATATATATATATATATATATATATATATATATATATATATATATATATACACAATTTATTTATTTATTTATAATTACTAGCTGTATGTCATTACTTTGCTATGATGTAAAATTGAAAGTAGCACTCTGAAGAAATAAGAAAAAACACAATGTAGGCCGACAAAACAAAGATTGTATCAATCTAAAAAAAAAATCTACACACGCTACAATCAAAAACAATGAACGTAACACAATCTGTTTTGTAATTCTTGTAAACAAATTTCTTTCATAATAATTCCTGGGAAATTATTTAAGACAAGTGAAATAGGGGAAATAATTACTCTCTTAATATAAATATGTATATATCTGCACATTTAATTATAAATGTCAAAACAAAAAATTAATTACTTTAGAATATAATCAAATTATTTAACACTATTCGTTTCTACAAAATGTTTTTGTCTATATTCAGAATTTAATATATCGTCATCATAAATGCTAAAGTATTACAGCATAATGAAAGTTTTTAACATCAGAGTTGGTATAAAACCACGCTTTTCGATATAATAGAAGAACGTTCGGAATAACAGCCTACATTTAACTAAATATCGCACTTTTAGTTCAGATCATATATTTTTAATTAACTACTGCTTCTTTATGTTCTGTAAAGATCATTTTTAACATAGTGATAGGTATGGGTTAGATCACTGTATTGATCACACACTTTTTTTTACTGGTAATTACAAAATCAATATTCACAGAGTTTTACGTTTAAAAAGTTAATTTTCTGGCGGCATGGTACTTTGGTACATCATTACACGTTTTTCTACATGTTCGGGGTGGGTTGGGGGGGGGGGGAGGGGGTTAAACTTCATTCACCACTATCCGGTCACTTTAGGTCAATTATCCAACCCAGTGTATACCTAGGTGTGACATTACTGTCGCTCTACACAATTGTGGTGGTGAGGTGTGGAGGGGGGGGGAGATAACTGACTCAGAGTGAACATAGCGTCAGTTTTTAGATGACTGTTCTAAACATACATATATATTACACAAATATATATTACACAAATATATATTACACACATATATATTACAGAAAGAGATTTAAATAAGTAGCAGTGGTATTATGACAATATTTTTTTACAGAGGGGTCCATGGGGGAGGGAGGTTGTAACTTTTTCATATAATTTGTAATCGTAATCACTATCGCCCAAACTGTAAGAATACTGCTACTTCATCGTGATGACGCTGTTGACCTTGTTAAAATTTCCCCACCACTACGCAGTTTGCTCATAAGTAAATTTAAATATAGGTGCATTATCAGTTGTATTTGTTCTGTATTGTAATTTTTTTTTTAAATTAATCACACGATTACGGGTCGGCGTGGTCGAGTCGGTAAAGCTCATGGTTGCTAAAACGAAAAGTCTCGAGAGGGAGGAGGGGGGTTATCGTCCTTAACGAGCTACGTATAGTGTTTCAAATAAATATTTTCAGTGGCAGCGTTGGTAGTGTCAATTCACAAATTATGAATAACTGAAAAGTAGAAAAAACAAAAACTAAATAGCGGCGTATGATATGCCGCTGGTCGGCTCGTATTTTCTAATTCAATTATTCGTATAAATACATTATACAGGTGTCTTAAACTTAACACCTTGCCAAGTGGTACTACCCGTAGAGGTTTTTTAAACATTGCAATGCATCGTAATGGTTATTTTTAGAATGGCAAACTGATGCAGCTGTTAATACGTGTTGTAAACGTAGACACTACTAGACTAGTACAATAATGCTTAATTGCTGCATGAAAAGAAATCTTGTGATTTACATAGATGTGCCGACCAAAAATATTTTTTAACAAAAATCATTGTTTAAAACTCGTAGTTTTAAAAGTTTCCAAAAAAGGCGCCACTATGCTGAAAATGGCCTGCTCCCCCCCCCCCTGCGTACGCTACTGAGCTGCACTATATGATAACTAAACAGTAAAATCATTGATTAAACAGTATCTGTATGAGCACAAAATATGTATGGATAATTGCATTGAAAATTATTTCTTCGAGCAAGTTCTTGGCTCAGCTCAGAAAGTATGAACACATCTATTGCACAATTCATTTATTTGGAAGACAAAATGAATGTTAACTTTCACACCTACACACTAGGATGTTAAATAGTGAGCTAATTCTTTCCCATCTCACTTCTATTTATTTAAATTATTTTTTCCAAAATATTTCTAGCAAGCTACAGTGGAAATTAATGATGGTATGTTGTAAACTAATAAAAAGCTTAAATATAATCATTTGAATTGTGACAAGGTAAAATAATTAGTGATAGGTCTACTAGTGAAACAAATTAAATATAGTCTTCTACATTGTTAACCTATAATCTAGTGTTATATATTCACCTATAATTATAATGGTACATTGAAACTATATTCAAATGTTACATCTTAATCTACACACTAATGTTTCATCTTTCTTAACCTATACACTAATCTTACATATTAACCTATAATTATAATGTTACAACTGAACCAATGCTCTAATGTAACCCTATTACACATAGCATGTTAGCACCTACTTTGATTTGATAACATCAACAATCTCACAGAACTCAATATGCAGCCGTAGTTTGTCCACATCATCTACCACATAGATGCCTTTATTGTTGACACCAACAACAACTTCATTTAACTGGATATTTGTCCCAACAACTTTTGTCACATCGTAATATCTTGAGAACAGGATGAAGAAATTCTCCATGGCTAATTTCACCAGTTCTGACTTCAAAGAATTCTCAGTTGGTTTTTCTTTGTCCAGTTTTAGTTCATAAAACATTGCTTTTACTTTATCCTATTAGAAAAGTAAAGTTGTTTGCTATCACAATAAAAATTGTCAATTTACCATTTAATTATGTGGTCAACTAGAGCAGCAATCAGTAATACATTTAACAAAAATAGCATTCAATAATGTAGTAAACAAAAATAGCATTCAATAATGTAGTTAAAAATAATAGCATTCAATAATGTAGTTAAAAATGTAACTTTTACTCTTGTAGAATTAACGGTTGTTCTCTAGTTCTAATATTCTATTAGAAAATTTAAAAATGTGTTAAAGTCTATGTTATTTGGGAGAACTACTGAATATTATGGCTGACTTAGAAGTTTTAAACACTCTACTACTCACTGGGTAGTAGTCCTTGGGTCTCCGCTCTAAAATGGTCTCTGGTATAAAGGTACTGATAAAGGTTTCCAAATTTGTAAAGTTAACATCCTCAGGGTTCTCGATGTAGAAGATTTTAGCAGCAACACTCAGAATCATCTCCTCCTGGTAAAGAGCAGTTGCCATGACAACATTCAATTATTATTTTCTTATTGTCTTATCCTATACCACTTACATTGTCTAGTCTGTCTTCTGACACAACACTTACAGTGTCTAGTCTGTCTTCTGACCTACCACTTACAGTGTCTAGTCTGTCTTCTGACCTACCACTTACAGTGTCTAGTCTGTCTTCTGACCTACCACTTACAGTGTCTAGTCTGTCTTCTGACATACCGTGTCTAGTCTGTCTTCTGACATACCACTTACAGTGTCTAGTCTGTCTTCTGACATACCACTTACAGTGTCTAGTCTGTCTTCTGACATACCACTTACAGTGTCTAGTCTGACATACCACTTACAGTGTCTAGTCTGACATACCACTTACAGTGTCTAGTCTGACATACCACTTACAGTGTCTAGTCTGTCTTCTGACCTACCACTTACAGTGTCTAGTCTGTCTTCTGACATACCACTTACAGTGTCTAGTCTGACATATCACTTACAGTGTCTAGTCTGTATTCTGACATTGTAATTCCTCTCTTAACTTGCTGGTAAACTAGTTCTGTGCTGACCAAATCTTCTTCTGGACTAAACCAAGAGCTGAAAAGTTAATATAAAACAATCAAAATGGCAATGTTCTAATTGAAGGTAGCAGTAACAGCTACAAAGTAAACTAAAGCTGGTTCAATTTTTTTGTTGAGAATAAGTTGAGACTTGGAATGACGAAAATGAACCCTAAATTAGGGCTAATCCAGGCTTAACTTTAAGGGAAGAGTTTCATCTTTAAAGTAACCATGTTAAGTTTAGGTTAATTGTCTAGAATAAGCTGAGAAAAATGTCCCCACCTAAAGTACTCGAGTCTAAAAAAAAGTCGCCAGATTGCGTTGCTCTCTCTGACACCCATCTGCTTGGTGAACTGCTCACTCTCAGAGATGGCATCCATTATACGATGCTGCCCATTGCCCAGACATGAGATCTGAAGGTTTTTTATTCATTTTAGTTCATTTATAAAAATTATCTTTTAAAATTAGAAAGTTGATTCTTCTTACTTATATTCTTTGACAACCTACCCATGAAATTATGTGACATTTATAAATTTCATCTAAAAATCTACATCTCAATAGGTACCATAATGAAACATGCAATAGCATAGTTTACAATACAAATATTACATTGTAAAATCTGTGCATGAAATGAAATCCACAGTGTATGAAAAGTAAAGTGTGTATCTAACTACCTCAATATATAATGAACTCTACATACCTTTGTATGTAATGAACTCTACATACCTTTGTATGTAATGAACTCTACATACCTTTGTGTGTAATGAACTCTACATACCTTTGTATGTAATGAACTCTACATACCTTTGTGTGTAATGAACTCTACATACCTTTGTATGTAATGAACTCTACATACCTTTGTGTGTAATGAACTCCACATACTTTTTTGTGTAATGAACTCTACATACCTTTGTATGTAATGAACTCTACATACCTTTGTATGTAATGAACTCTACATACCTTTGTATGTAATGAAATGTACAGTGAGTATCCAGTTAGCTCCTGAAGACCCAGCCTTTCACTGATGTGCCGGATAACTTCTGCTACTGTCATGGCAGCATCAACTTCACACAATATCCGATGTCCACTCATGAAACTCACTGGAACCAGCAATGGTTTCCCGTTCTTGGCAGCCTGGCAGAAATTGTTTTACACCAATGTTTACATTGGCAGAAATTGTTTTAGACTAAAGTTTAAATTTAAAGAAATTGTATAACACCAATGGTTAAATAGGCTGAAATTGTTTTACACCAATGTTTACATTGGAAGAAATTGTTTTACACCAATGTTTACATTGGAAGAAATTGTTTTACACCAATGGTTATATTGGAAGATATTGTTTTATATTAATGGTTATATTGGCAGAAATTGTTTTACACCAATGTTTACATTGGCAGAAATTGTTTTACACCAATGGTTATATTGGAAGAAATTGTTTTACACCAATGTTTACATTGGAATAAATTGTTTTACAACAATTTTTAAATTGGAAGAAATTGTTTTACACCAATGTTTAAAATGCAAGAAATTGTATGCTTGGAGGTGACATTTTTCCTAAACTAAAACTATCACATGGGTCAAAACAAAAGAGAACCAGAAATGTACATTTTTTGTTGTCATAATTGATGCACAACTACATATTTTCTCATCATACAAATTTGTTAAACATGCTTTAAAAATAAGATTGTAAGTCCCTTGACATAAAACATCCAAGATCAAGACCACAATGATGGCACACACAGCTAGTCATTACTTAATTCAAACTTTTCCTTCTTTGTGCAGTGAAAAAAAATGTGAACCTGAAACTCCAGCCAACTAGGTGGGTAACCTCTGGTGCCAACTGTACAGGTTCTTCTCAACAGCCAGTCAACTTTCTCAGCAAACTCTACTGGACCTTCAGCAAGGAAATTTGACAGGCACGGAGCAAACTGCAAATTTTATATATATATATATATATATATATATATATATATATATATATATATATATATATATATATGTATATATATATATATATATATATATATATATATATATATATACTAGGCATGCTGCCCAGCTTCGCTTAGGCTTTCGAAAACATTGAGAATTTGCATGCTTAATTAATTCGCCCGAGGGTCGGTCTACGACCTCAAGAGTTATGAAGAGGTTCCTCCGTGGACATTTTTTTTTCGATTTATAGCTCATATAAGGTACCGGTCAGTCGAGGTCAGTTTTGACCCCCTCATCGTAGACTTTTCGGCCAACCGGCCCCCGTGCTCTGTCGCCCCAAGGCAAGATCCTGTCAAATTTGAAGCGCCTGCGGCGCCGGGAAGTGCCTTATCCGACACCCGACAATCTAGATCTAGATCTAGAATCCTAATTGAATTTTTTTTTTTTTTAAGTTTAGTCCGAGCAAAATAAAAAAAAAATACATTAACCAAGTTGACTTGGTGGGTCTCGAACCCGCACCACCTGCGTGGTTTATAGTACACTAACATCTCCGCTATTTAGGCACCTTATAAAATACAGAGAATGAAAGACGTATTTTAAAATCTTAACTTACGCGAATATGCCTATTCTTTCAAATTAATTTTTTTATCCCAAATTAGCCAGTTCCAAACAAAGATTTTGTTATGAGTTTAGGCCGGAAAAATTGTATTGTATACATTTCATAGTGTACGTAGATCTAAATCAAATTTGAATGAAATAGTTCATTTCTATTTTATATTCTAAACACGGCAGATGACGTCATTAGTAAGCAATAGTGTCGTCACAGTTTTATGCGTTCTTTTACACATCTATTAATGCTTTTCCGGTTGCATAAATAATACTGTTTCTCTACATTCGAATACGCCTTTATTTTATATTTTTCTTCTTTAAATAAAATTGTGGTTATACATTTAAAACATCTAACATATTATTTTCAACAAAAGTCCGTATAAAGTTCTACATATATTGCTGCCGTTTCTGACGTGATGTCCGGCGAAAATTTTTTGCGGACAGAGAGAGAGAGAGAGAGAGAGAGATGTGCGAACGTGGCCCATTATAGTATTAGATATATATATATATATATATATATATATATATATATATATATATATATTGGCATATATATATATATATATATATATATATTGGCATATATATATATATATATATTGGCATATATATATATATATATATATATATATATTGGCATATATATATATTGGCATATATATATATTGGCATATATATATATATATATATATATATATATATATATATATATATATATATATATATATATATATATATATATATATATATATATATATATGTATATATATATATATATATATATATATATATATATATATATATATATATATATATATATATATATATATATATATATATATATATATATATATATAATATGTGTGGGTGTGTCCAATAAAAAAAAAAGGTGCAAGTATTTGAATATTTACAAGCGCCCATTGACAAAAGGCATTGACAAAAAACATTGACAAAAAACATTGACAAAACATGTAGGCTACATAGCCCCATACAGGTGACCAGACTTACCTTCTCAGAAGGTATGAAACTACCAGCAAACAAGGACATGAGTACCCAGCCTCGGACCACACTGTTCCTTGATGGGTTGTTGGTCAGTTGTTTACACAGTTGGCAATACAGCTCATCTCTGTCAGGAGGTAAAATAACGTATACAGCTAGTCTCTGGGTTGGGGGGGGGGGGGGAGAGCCCTTACTTAACTTAGTACATGTCGACTAACCCTACCTTAACGCAGGCTTATAGATGACCACCTTACCTTAACGCAGGCTTATAGATGACCACCTTACCTTAACGCAGGCTTATAGATGACCACCTTACCTTAACGCAGGCTTATAGATGACCACCTTACCTTAACGCAGGCTTATAGATGACCACCTTACCTTAACGCAGGCTTATAGATGACCACCTTACCTTAACGCAGGCTTATAGATGACCACCTTA